TGCTGTATCCCGGCCTGAAGCCCGACTGGAGGGGGTCCAGATAGACTGTTTCCTCCAGGTGCCGAGGGAATTGCTGTGCAACCACACTCTCAACAACCTTCGCCACAAAGCGAAGGTTGGAGACTGGGCGATAGTTAGCCAATACATCTGGATCCAGGGAAGGCTTCTTCAGGAGGGGCCTCACCACCGCCTCCTTTAGTGCTTCCTTGATTTCCTTTCCTTTAGGTCACGGGTGTCAAACTCGATTGCATCACGTGACGTATTGTGATGTTTTTTGCCTTTGCGGAGCTGGGGTGGGCATGGCCAGTACGTGATGCATCTGGCCCGCGGGCCACCAGTTTGACACCCCTGCTTTAGGTAATACTTCTTGATCAGGTATTGATCAATTTTTTTCTCCTTCAATTATTCTAGGTTGCTTGCATCTGATCTTAACAAGCTGATCTTATTTTCAATCTGATCTTCCATTTTGGTGGTACACTGGTTTTTTTTTGTTGTTGTTGATTTTGCATCCAAGATATTCAGTTTTAAATGTAGCTGTGCTATGTATTAGTTGATTTGTTTCTTGCAGTGACCTGGTGCTTATATTTCATATTACAATATTTTAATACTTGTGCTAGCTTTGAAACAAGCTTCAATGCAGGCAAGATTATTCTTCTGTTTTTGTGCTGTTCTAGATGCTCATTTTTTTTGCTTTTTAATTAGAGGGATTTGTTCTTTCTGAGGAGAAGGCAGAGGAAACAGTGACTTGTTTGGGAATGAATAGCTATGCTAGTTTCATCTACTACCAACTCCCCATGGTTTGTCTCTACAGTGTGAGTTACTTCTGGTGAGGCTTCAGTAGATCTTTTGCAGTTCTTCCAATTCTTCTTCTGTGAATATTTTGTTTTGTATTATAAAAGTGTTGATCTACTAGCCTCTGTTCTGTTATTTCTGATTCTAGATGTTGTTCTTTCCAGAACTGTGCATTGTCTTCAGAAATCCTCTTCTCATTGGGACTTGATTTGTAATAACAGTTCATTCAATTTTTCAATAGCATTCTTTGTTTTCAGTCTTTGTATATTTGCAATGGGTAAACAACTTTTCTTCTAGTAGACCTACACTTGGTGGCCCTAGTTCCTTAGCCCACAGTCCTGAGTCCTGTACTCCATTTGTCACCAGATGTCCAGGAACTCCGACATCTAGTGTATTGTTGACCCAGGCAATGATCAATCTTGTATGGGTTCCTGTAAATTAAGTCTCACCTTATTGTTAATGGATAGTAGTAAGAAACTTTTAATTTTAGATGCTTAATTAGTAAGGTAATTATCCCAGTAACATATATTTAATTGGCAAAGTATACTTTTTCCATTTAAAAATTTGCCAAAAAAATAGCAATGCTCATCAAAACAATTAGATGTTTCAACAAGTTTTCATTCAAAGAATATGAGTTGAGTTCATAGTTGGTATTTTCAGATAATTTTTCTACTACAATAAATGTAAAGTTTCCTAATATTGTTTTACAAATTCTTTCCTTCCTGCAAGGATTGCTCATTTTTTCAATATTCAAAACAATATTTACATTTGAAAGACTATGAAACTTGTGATAAATTTTTACATATTACATGTGATAAATATGGAGATATTGCAGAAAAAGTAAATGTAAATCTTGATCTCATTTTACCTATCTCTCAAATCTTACATGGAGGCAGAGCAGTATTCTTAGAATGATCTGATGGATAGCATTTCTATTCTGATGGACAGAATAAATTATTTTGTCATTGTGAGTTTCTTTCACTTATATAGGAACAACCTTCCAAACGTCTTCTTTAAATAAATATTAAAAATGAAGCCATTCTATTTTTCTTAACATCAATTACACTATATGCAATTGATACTGAATTAGTGCTAATACAGATAACAGCACAAATATAGAATCCAGCATTCTTAATTGTCTAGGAAGGCCCTTACTCTAAATTCAATAGCTGTCTGTAGTGATGTCCAGGTCTCACCTCATCTTTTATGTCTTCTTGCTGTTGAGCACTGAAGATCTCCATTGCAGCCATCAGCCTCATCATTAACTCATCCACTGTTGTGTTTCCTAGCAACAAAGAAGGACAGTTGACCTTCATAATATTAAAGTTATTTTAAAAACTCAGAAAATTATTTTAGAAATAATCCAAAAATAACATCTTAAGATTTTTTTCATAAGTCACAAAAAGAAAATGCAATTAGTTTTATTTTAGTGTCATTTAATTTATGTTTTAAAGTTTCGGAAAGTTTCAAGTTGTGAATGTGAATCTAAATGAAAAAGTTAGATTGATTGTAATTTCTATTTCATCTTTATTTCAGCAATAATAGCCAAGTCAGGATTTCAAATTAGGGTTAAATAAGGAGGAAAGAAGGAGATTTTTATTTTTAAACATTTTGTTTCAAACTGTCATAAAAATTCATAGTATGTCTCTAGATATTATCACAAGATCTTTTGACATATCTATTTTTGATATTTGTGTTGAGTTTAAATACTAACATTTACAATTAATAGCCCTCAGAATAACCTCTGTCATTCATTGATTCAAAGATTGCTAACATATATAACAATGAACAGCCCATTTCCCCCTTAACTGGACACTATTTGTTGGCTTATTACTTCTTGATTACATTGCTAATGTAAGGAGATTTGAAATACATAAAGACATTCAACAGCTCTATTCCACTGCATATGAATCTTGGTTTCAACCTCTGCAATACTTTTCACTGTGATTTTAATCCATCAATATAGCAATATTCAGTTTTCAGTGGAGAATATGGAAGTACATTACTACTAAGTTTCAACATTCCAGTTGCTAGAAAAGTATTGTAAAATGTAAGTGATTTATAAGTAAATATCAAGAGATCAAGAGAAAACTATAGATATTATATTACAAAACATCAAACTGACTGATTGAATATAAGTCTAGTTTTTCCCTTCAATTATTTCTGGATCTTTTTGGAGTTTCAACATAGGGATAGTAGAGATCCTGCAGGCACATCTGATATATTTTAAAAATCAATGAATATCAATGAAATATCTATAGAGCTATGAATACTCATACAGTTATTTTTATGAGAGTGAGGCCAATTACAAAGGGTTAGCTATCCCCACTCTTTGTGTGTGCTTTCTTCCTAATGGGAGAGAGGGAGAAGGAGAGGGAGAAAAGGCGAGAAGGGGAGAATAAGTTTGGGAGGTGAAGTTCCTTACTCACACTCAAGTTACTAGAACAAGAGGGTACGTTTTTGAATGTGACATAGTAACTTCTCCAGGTAACTACGATTAATCCTGAGACCTACTTCTAAAATTCAGCTACAGTATAACATTTGCCAATTTTTCTTATTTTTTTTGTTGAGCAGCACCATAAAGTGTAAACTTTACAAGCTTAAAGCTTGTAAGCTTTCATACATTACCATGCTACATTAGTTTTGATCAGATGCATAAAATACATTCACCAATTTTTCATTTTATCTGCACTACTTTGTTAATATAAGAATATAAATTATATTCCAGGAGAATTTATATACTTGAATACAAGTGTAATTGATGCAAATGCAGTTCAAAGTTTCAACACAAAACGTGCATCAAGCAGAATATACAGACTGTACCTTGTATTACATTCAACACTTCATTTGACGATCGTTTTCCCATAATAATAAGGAACAATGGAAACTGATCTGTCTTCTGAGTCCGAATAGTTTGGGCTACAACACTGCCAAAGTGTCTTGTGCACATTGTTAGAAATCTGAAAAATAGGAATATTTCAATGAAAAGTTTGTATAAATAAATGTACCTTATTCATTTAATTTTGAAAATATATATATATACATGTCTTATAACTTCCATAATTTCACAGCAAAAATATATGCAGTACATTGTAGCTTACTTTCAAGAAAATACAGGACTTCATTTGTTGTTAACAGCAGCCCCCACTTTTTTCTCTTTTTATACCGCAGACTATTTTCCACGGATTCTCCTAATCTTACTACTATCCCTAGGCATCATCCATCTCCATCCTTTCTTTTTTTCAATGCTGCACCGTACCTATTTTATTAAGCCATGCTATCTTCTTTATATTTTTCACTTAACATCTAAATTTTGTTACATTCTTTGGCGGAACAGTCATAGCTCTGTACCAATTATGCTCCCAGATTTAATAGTTAGATACAACTGAGACCTAGTGGATTAGTATAATCCTTCTGTCAATTCTTAACTTACATTGCTGAAAATCTTCACCTTCAAATGATAGAAGGAAACAAAATAGAACCATAACATAAACCAAGGAAAACAAAAATTAGTCAATTCATGAGAAACTTCTACAGCTTATCATAAAACTATTGATGGATAACCAACTTGAAATCAATTACAATATTAGATGCCAATCATCTAGAGATTATTCAATGATTAATGAAGAATATTTGTAGCTCATTTGAAGCTTATTCAATTATTATATTTGTAAAAATAATAAGTCTTTCCAAACCAAAGATCCCTTTTTTATTTGATAACTTCCTTAGTAGACTGTGCAAATACTAAGTACATATATTGTTTTCAACTATGCTTTGACAGAGCACCCAATTCTGATGGGATAACCACGAAATGGTTATCATATTTGCAGTTGACATGAAACAGGGCAGGACAGCCGATATTCTAGAAGACCAAAACAAAATTCAAGTTGATATTATTAGGTTAGAGGAATGAGTTGAAAATAACAGAATGAAATTTAATAGAGATAAATGTAAATTTATACACTCAGGAAACAGAAAAATGCAGAAATATAGAAAGTGGAATTCCTGGGTACTAAAAATACCTTGGATCACAAACTGAATATGAATTAGTGATGTGATGCAGCTGCTAAAAAAGAAGAAATGTTATGTTGTGCCATTGTAACAGTTTCCAAATATGGGAAATATACTATATTTTGCATTGATTAGTATACAGTGCTTCAAGTATTGTCTACATTTCTGGGTAACAGGTTTGTAAGATTATTTAGAAAAATACACTGAGATTGGTTTTATGAGGAGAGAGAGGGAAAGACTGAGAACTGAGAAAAGATGGCTTGAAGGAAATTTTCAGATAGCTGAAGGGTATCATAGGCAAGAAGGTGAGCACCTGCTCTCTATCATTCCAGAGAGTAGGATACTGAATAATGATACAGGTAGTCCTCAACTTACGACCGTAATTGAGCCCAAAATTTATGTTGCTAAGTGAGAAATTTATTAAGTGAGTTTTGTCCCATTTTATGACTTTTCTTGCCATGTTTGTTAAGTGAGTCACTGTAGTTGTTAAATTAGTGACACGGTTGTTAAGTGAATCTGGCTTCCCCATCGACTTTGCTTGTCAGAAGGTTGCAAAAGGGAATCACATGACCCTGGTACACTGCAACCATCATAAATATGAACCACTTGCCAAGCTTCCGAATGTAAATCGTATGACCATGGGGCTGCTGCAATGGTCATAAATCACTTTTTTCAGTGCTGTTGTAACTTTGAGCAGTCACTAAACAAACTGTTATAAGTCAAGGACTACCTGTATTAAATTAAAGATATTGGTAAATGAAACCAAAAAAAGAAAAAAAAACTTCTATTGGTAAAAGCAACGTGAAACTCAGATTACTGAAGGAGGTAATTCCCTTTCCTAATTAGAATGTAGTCAGACAATTACCTGTCAAAAATGCTTTTATTTGGATTCTTGTACCAATTAGAGGGGTTGGGCTTGATGGCCCAAATAGGCTCTATGTTTCTATAAACTTGGAAAATTAATGGGATAGAGATAGATGAATAATATTTCACTGCTTTTTATTACTAGCGCTGCATTAACAAAAAATACAAAATGCTCTCAATGTCTTTTCTGGTTTATTCTTAAAATTCAAACCAAAAGAGATGGAGGACAGTAATCAAAACAACAGATCCATATTATTAGGAAAATATATCCGCCTCTCTTTTTTAAAGGAAAGTTTCTTACTTGGGCAACAGCCCTCCACTATTTTTGGCATTCTGTTGATTCCTAATTCTGAATCCCACACTTTACTATTATAACAGGAGCAGCAACAATGCAAAAATCAATTGATATTTCAATAAATTAAGATGACCCCACTAAATTAAAATAGTTATTTCTTTATGTGCAAAAGCAAAATGATACCACAGTGGAGAAAAGTACAAGGCTAAAAGCAAAGCTTAATTTGGTATCTTCAGATGTTGAACAGGATGCATCATCATGCCATCTCCTCAGATGACTCATTTTGAAAGGAGGAGAAAAATCACTAAACTCATACATGCCAATTCTAGCATTAACGATTGTGTGATTCTTGAATCCACTTTTTGAACTCCAGTTTAAACTATTTGCACAACTCCCATGCCCAAGGAAGTGGCACTGGCACCAAGTTAAATTTCAAAAGGCCAAAAGCCATAGCTAAGCTAGTTTGGATCAAAAAAACCTAACCTATTAAGGATTATTACTGTATGGCCCTGGATCCTGAGTAAAGCTATTAAATAGGGACTGGACTGAGGGGTAAAAATTGGAAATCTTTAGTGTAAAGTTTTTCCTTCCTACACAGGAAGTAATACCATTTTTGGTAAAGATTATATACTTAAATCTTGAGGCACTGTTTGAAATCTGTTCCAAAAATGCCTCATAAGAATCAAATGGAGATTAAAACCATTACTATATTTCACTAGTAATGCAAGAGGATTTTTTTTCTCTCTCCTCTAAGTTATACTCTGATAGATATGATGATTTTGAGGTCCATAAGGATGGGTACTGAAGATTGAACTCTTTGGCAAGAATCAATAGCATAACATTTCAGAAGTTCATTGTAAAAGATAACACACACACACACACCAAAAGTTGTAGATGAACAGCTTGCATATAAAATATGTTAATATAACTTTCAGTAATTAATTAGTGAAAGAAGTAATACATATCAAGGAGTCATGTTTTTGAAGATTGTACTAGTTCCCTTCACTTTCATACTTACTAGTATGTTCTGAAAAACACTAATTCTAAGCTTTTGACAAAAAAAGCTTTCATCCATTATCATACTGAAGTCTGACATTAGTATTCTTAACACGATCTTGAATAAATGAAAAAACTGATAAAGCTTTTCACTTCCATTAGAGGACTGTTTGAAATTAGCATTTCTTTCAAGAGAAAAGGGTAGCTTATGATATGTTTTCAGATCTGATGGTAAAAAGTAAATGTCATAATAATAATGAATTATGAAAGACCAAATGCAAATATAGAATGCTTTAATAAGATCCAATTTAATAAAGTCTGTAAAAATAATGGACTTTTAATAACACAGGTCACAAAAGGCAAAACAGTGGAAATTCTGAGGACTAGCCACTAGCAGAGGCTTATTAATTCTTAATTATGTTCATGAAAGGCAACTTAAATCGTGTATTTTCTTATGCCTTAGGATAATATTTTAGGTAACAACTGATCTGAAAACTACCTGATGAGCATAAGCCTTTTTGTCCCATGCTTTAGAAGGTAAATCTATCTGAAAAGACAAACGGCATTAAAATGTCACAGGATGAAAAGCATTTGATATCAACATCCAAAGCAGAATCACAACACTTAATTTTCATATTATTAATAAAAAAAACTATCTACGATTCAGAAATCTAGAATGATAAATAAAAATCCTTGATTCCAAAGTGAATATGATTCTGACAACTATTAAAGTTCGAGAACAAAATTGAGTCAATTTTGTGTTATTGGTTTTATTTAAATAAAATATGTCATCTTAATATGGAAGTTACTAACTTTTTAGTAAATAATCAGATGTGGTTAATAAACAGTTCAAAGGTTAGAGTAATTACATGATGATGTCCTACATGTGCTAGTTGGCCATTACTGGTATGTGGAAACCACAAAGTGGGATGAAAGGTCTTCTGATTTTATTGGGAAATATTTAGCAAGTTCACTTCCGAATCTAGGGTGAGTTGGACTCTGGAAGCTTTGTGCCATCCACAATGGATCTGTGTCATCCTTATTTTGATTTCTCAGGAAATTGTCTCAAGAAGTCATCCTCATCAAACTAATTGCTAAGTTATATATGCCATGCTCTCAGTAGACTATTTAGATAAATTATATGATTTATACTCAAAAAGAAACTTTTAAATTTTTATAGAAGTTTGAAAATACCTATTTGATGTGACCAAATCCAATTTAGCAAACCAAATATTTGAAGAAGAGCCCTAGTGCTCTTTAAACATGAGCCAAGAAATGGTGAAACTTATTTCTATACCTATTTATGGTAAATTTACTGTAGTGTTTTTCCAAAGTAAAAGAATACTTGTTGAATATTAAAACTTATCCAACATCTATTTAATATGATTAATTTTATACTATGCAAAGTCAATATGTTTCATTAAAATGTGAATAAAGAAATAACATTTTATGCTATTAATATTTAAATTTTAAATGTAGAACTGGAAGCTATATTTTATTTATTCATGACGTGACTATCTTAGCCAATTCTACATGCCATCCACTTAGCCCTGCCTTTCTTTGAAGACAATTGTTATTTTTGACTGGGTTCTTGAAACATTTCTTGCTATATTCTTCTATGTGTAAATAACTGATCAGTAGCACTCAATCGTTGTTTAGAAGGTTCTTTAAAAATGCTTAAATTTCCATTATTTGGAGTTTGTCACCAAAGTCAGCCTTTATTAGATAACTTGCAGAGCAACCTCAACCAAAACTGATGGATTAGAATAACGTAAGGCTATTGGTCCACATAAG